GCTCCTGGACCCAACCAGTGCCCTAAGCGGTCCACCGGGTGCTCATCTGACCATATTCAAAAGCCTGAAACCCTGAGCTTCCGAGAGCTCTGCCCCCTAGATCCCGCCAAGGGACCTTCGCCCCCTGGACCCCATTCCGATTAGTGACCTGCATGCAAGTGTCACAAATAAGGTATCAAAATATGCTGATCTGACCCTAATTAAAGGGCTAAAAATTCTGAGCTCCATGGGGCTCCGCCCGTTGACCCCGCCGGGGCTTTGCCCCTAGAGCCCGCGCTAATTTACGTCCCACTTGATTTGCTCTATCTGATCGAAAATACTTAGATCCCCCCCCCCTCCCCCCCCCCCCCCCCCCCCCCCCCCCCCCCCCCCCCCCCTCCCCCCCCCCCCTCCCCCCCCCCTCCCCCCCCCCCCACTTTGAAAAACGTTCCGCGGGGCCTGCAAGTAAAATGTAAGAGCGGTGGTGATGCGGATTTTTTTTCTCCCCCCCCCAAAAAAAAAAAGTTTTTGCTCATTACGTCACTCTTCCCTCGTTCCCCGCATTTCGTTCCCCCCCCCCCCCCCCCCCCGGTCATGAAAAGAAATCGCCGCCCCTGCACATGATTACAGGATCTCAGGATCACGGGACCGTGTCCCCTTCCTGGCAAACCGCCAAAAAATTCACGCACTAATCACACAGAAACCTCCCACCCACGCACAAATACAGACAATTACCAATATCGAGGAAGAAAATTGGATATTGTTGCAGTTTTTATATGCTTTGTTCGTTATCATACCATGCGTGATATGTACTGGCTGAGAGAGGGTTCGAGTAAGCGAAATGAGAGCCTTCATTTTTTTCCTCAATACTGCTTACAGAGGTCAGAGTTCATATCGCACCTCTAGGTTTTACGATGTGCACCTTCAACTTATCCACTCTCTCATGCTATTTCTTATTAGGCTTTGATAGTTAATGATTTACCCATTCACCAATACGTTTCAGTGAGAAATATGAAATGGGAGGCACTATTTTATTGAGTTCAATTTCTCTGGCATGTTATTTGAATAATACTATTAATAAATACGACGACGTTTATTTTTTAAACTTTTTGAAATTCACAAGTCGACATTTTTCCTAGAAACATTCACGTTTACACATTCACAGTCTTCTATTTTGCTTCTCTTCGACTATTCATGGATTCTAAATACCGTATTGTGTCTTCTTGTTGACTTGTATACATTTCTCTCGGTTTCTGAGTACTACTTGGTCAGGGAGAAGGACCATTTCGGTTATGGATGGCCCATTTCTTCTCCAGCAGTCACATGTTGCACTCAGAAGGCTGTTTATAACAAAAACAAATCCGAATGAATAATATCAATAAATTCACTACTCAATGGAGTACAGCACAATTTTTCCACCTCTAATAACTGCCCCTTTTATTTTTGACACGTGCCCCTTTTCCTTTCTAACAAATGCTTTTGTCCCTTTTCTTCTTATAAGTGCCCCTACCCCTTCTCATAATTAACAATTTACCAAAATTATAGGGTTCAATTTCTCTGGCATGTTATTTGAATAATACCATTAATATGACGACGTTTATTTTTTTTTAATTCTGAAATTCACAAGTCATTGACACTTTTTATCCAACTACATCTAGTAAACGTCGACATTTTTCCTAGAAAAATTCACGTTTACACATTCACAGTCTACTTTATTCTATTTTGCTTCATCAATGGATTCTTAATACATAAATTGTGTCTTCTTGATGTATACATTTCTTCCGGTTTCTGAGTACTATACTTGGTCGGGGAGAAGAACCATATCGGTTACGGATGGCCCATTTCTTCTCCAGCAGTCACATGTTGCACTCAGAAGGCTGTTTATAACCAAAAAATCCGAAGGAATAATATCAATAAATCAACTACTCAATGGAGTAGAGCACAATCTTTCCACCTCTAATAACTGCCCCCTTTTATTTTGACACGTGTCCCTTTTCCTTTTTAATAAATGCTCATTTTCCTTCTTATAAGTGCCCCTACCTCCTTCTCATAATTACCAATTTTCATCTCTGATAAGTGCACCTTTTATTTTAACATGTGCCTCTTTTCTTATTAATAAGAGCTACTTCCCCTTTTCATAAAAGCCCCTTTTCATCTCCGATAAATGCCCCTATTAATATCTGATGGGTGCCCCTTCCCAGACAGCAAAATATCTGGGGCCCATCTGGGTTTTGTATGGGCTGACTAAAACCCACGTGGCCCATACAAAAACCAGATGTATACCAGATGGGCCTTCCCACCCAGAACCCACACATATGGGCCCCATGTGGGCCCCATGTGGGTTTTTGTTTGTGAAAATCGCACGTCGAACATCGGCTGGGCCCAGCTAAAAACCAGATGTATACCAGATGGGCTTTTCCATCAAGAACCCACAAGTTCCAACACATATGGGCCCCATATGGGCCCCATGTGGGTTTTTGGTGGTGATAATCGCACGTCGAAGATTATCTTCACCCAGCTGAAAACCAGATGTATCCCATATGGGCCTTCCCACAAAGAACCCACAGGTATACGGAGCCCACGTGGCCCATTTAACAACTAGATGTATACCAGATGGGCCTTCCCATCCAGAACCCACAAGTACCAACACATATAGGCCCCATATGGGCCCCATGTGGGTTTTTGGTGGTGATAATTGCACGTCGAAGATTGTCTTCACCCAGCTGAAAAACAGATGTATACCAGATGGGCCTTCCCATCCAGAACCCACAAGTTACAACACATATAGGGCCCATATGGGCTCCATGTGGGTTTTTAGTGGTGAAAATCGCACGTCGAACATTGTCTTCGCCCAGCTGAAAACCAGATGTATACCAGATGGGCCTTCCCACCCAAAACCCACAAATATATCCCATCATTTGCATAATGAGTATGGGGTGCGTGCACATCTATGTTTTTTTTAACAATTTATCTAAATTTACAGGATATTTCTTAATTACTGATGATTTAGTTATTTGCGATTCATTTCGAAAATACTACAAAATGTAAATTGCCAATTATTAGGAAAATTCACTACTTTGTTTAAATTACATTTAATTAAACATGAATTAGAAAAAACACTTACTATAATCTAAAACAGATTCAATAAAATACTAGTATATGGAAATGTCTTATCACAGTAAATTAACCAAGTCTTCTTAACACCAATGCCTTTACATTGGAAATGTTAGACGATGTGTTGTTGCCATTGACCAAATTAATTAGTACAAGTGCTACATAACCTACTAATTATGTCTGCTAATTGGAGCTTTCAATCAGTGGTTGAAAGTTGTGCCAAATGGTACGACTGGTCCAGTTAAACCCAACTGGTAACCCTGGAAATTGAAATGGGATAAACGAATTCAACTGGGAAAAATAGGAACCCATTTAAACAATATGAAGCCCATTTAAAACCACATTGGCCCATATGGGACCAGATCAAACCCACTTTGCCCATATGGATCCCATATAAAAACCCGCTTATAGCCCATATGGGGCCCATATAGAACGCACTTGACCCATATATAGAATGTGGTAGGTCCCACATAAAACCCACATATGGCCCATCTGGTGCCCAATAGGTAACCCTTGTGTATATTGATGGGCCAATTGTGGAGTACATCTGGGTTTCACGTGGGCCCATCTGGGCCAAGTGGGTACAATCTGGGCCGCCCATCTGGGGCCCTTCTATAACCCGGGTGCAGATTGCTGGGCCCCACATGGGGCCTATCTGGGACCCATCTGGGCCAAATGGGCCAAGTGGGCAAGAGACGGGCTGGCCCATCTGGGCCAAGTGGGCCAGCCCAGTTGTAACCAGATAAAACCCAGATGGGCCCCACAACATTTTGCTATCTGGGTTTTCTTTCAACTAATGCACATTTTCCTTTCAGTGCCCCTTTTTAATTCTTATAAATGCCACTATCAAAATCTGATGGGTGCCCATTTCCCATTCTCATAAGTGCCTGTTTTCATCCCTGCCTCTTTTTTGTGTGTAAGAAGTGCCCCCGGCCCCCCACTCAGAGGTCGGAATGACCGCATGCGTGTTGCCAAAATGTCCGGTAAAGGGGTACTTTTCGTGCGACAAAGTCCGGCCCGAGAATTGTAAAAAAGGGGTGTATTTGACTTTTCACCCGGAGATTTCTTTAAAAAGGGGGTGTTTTTCTTTTTTCTCTCATCTCTTTGGACTCCTGAGAAATTATTCCGAATTTAGGGGGGTACATTGAGCATTTTTCCTGATTTAGGGGGGTCTCCAAGGCAGGAAAAGCCCGCGAAAAGCCCGCGAAAGGGGGGTTCAGAAATGTTGGCAGTCCTCAGATAGGGGGTGCTTTCAAAAAGAGGGTACGAGCATAATTATGCGTACCCTAAATAACACTGAGTGGGGGGCCGGGGAAGTGCCCTATTTTTACCTCTGATAATTATTATTACCCTTTGTACTTTGACACGTGCTCCTTTTCTTTTCTAATAAGTGTCTTATCCCTTTCGATAAGAGTTCCCTTTTTCTCTCATCATTAAACGCGCCCCTAATTACAAGCGACTAAGAGCAATTTCCCCAAAAGTTATAATGCGTCAATTATGCCAAAGACGAAGTTCTGAAAGAAAGCAATATATTATGTGCGCTCTATAATTTTCGTACGAGACTTTTTTTCGTACGAGAATTCTGTTCGTACGAGAACTTTTGTTGTACGAAAAAAAAAAAAGTTCGTACAAAATGTATGCGCTCCCTTGCCTTTGGTAGTCTTTGAATGGATCCTATTCAGACCCTAATTAGTCCCAGCCATATTATAACTGTATGTATTCTCAATTCTCACAGCCTATACCAGCGTGCAACAGATCATCATGCTTGCATCCATTTACTATGTTGACATTAAACAAAATATAAGCCGAGATCAATAGCTGGGAACATTCGACCTACTCACTGACATGCAGGGTTCGTCGATTGTCATTCGGCACTTATATAAAAGCTGACAAATACACTGGTGCGAACTTTGATTCGAAACGACACGATACAAAGTCCACTCCAACGTACTCGAACACTGGTTGGAGCTTTCAAATAAAGCTAGTAAACATGAATTGAGTAAAACAAAATTGATATATTGTATTTCATATATACACTTGGAATAGGACGTGCTGATGCAAGCATAATGATCTACTAAAAATTAGTGAAATATTGCGATGGCTCACCGGTAAACTATATTTTGGTGTTTACGGTTTCATGCTTGTATTTGGTTGGAGTGGAAGAGGTCTTATATACACGACGCCAAAATGAACGGGAAGAGAGTGGCTATCATAGGAGCTGGAGTTTCCGGTCTTGTTGCGATAAAAACATGTCTCGAGGAAGGGCTACAACCCGTGTGTTTCGAAAAGGTCAAACAACTAGGTAAAGTATATATAAATAATGTCCCGTATGACTATGCACGTAGAATTCAATAGCTGATATCTCCTTGACTGTACATTGTGCACGTAGCGGCCGTGTATCGACGTGAACCGACGTGAACCCGGTCTATGAACAATAGGGGGAGATATACCAGGCGTGATATAGGCCTACCTACGAGTGTACTGTTTGTATTACAATGACTAGGCTTATAGTACCTTATAGTCAAACTGACAAGATCGACAACAAACAGACAACAGACAGAACAGATATATTATATAGGTCGGTTAGGAGTCGGTTTGAAGTCGGTTTGGCCGCAGTGCGACTGAGGTAATACGAGAGAAATATATCGACCGTGTGAATATGCCGATGCTATAGTATATTAGAGCTAATTTCTCTATTATGTATTATTTTGAAAACGTAGAAATAAAAAATAAACAAACAAACAAAAACGAAAAACACGACACCGTGTATCAATTGATAACATATCACATATACAGACTCTCGAAAAATTGTGTAACGTATCAATTATAAAAACACTCAAACTTTCGTTGGCTTACAGCATTTTCCTCTGGCATACTTCCTCTATATACTTCATATATATATACCACGAGAACGGGTTAATTATTCCTTTTTTTCTCTCTGAGGGGCCGACCCGTCTCTGCGGTAAGGTGGTTAAGGTCTGGGTTCGAGGCTCCCGGCGGAAACAATTTTTGCAACCTCTGTAGAAGGAAACAGTAAGGAGGAACACGGAAAGGGCGACACAAATTATTACTCTCTTAATCTCTTTTGAATTCTCAAATTATAATAATAATAACAATGATAATAACATTTGGATTTATAAAGCGCCTTTTTCAGAGGGTACAAGCGCTGTCCCTTTAATAGTCAATCAAAAAATTATAAAGTATTGTACTTGTAGAGGTATGTTTTCAGATGTTTTCTTCAAGTGAAGTACTACTTCATAATTATATATATTATAATTATGTTCTACTTTCACCTAGCATATATATCCTAAAGTATTTTAAAAAGTAACTTTCGTCTATAGTCTTGCTCAGCTTTTTCATTTTCATTTGAATTAATTTCTGGTATAATAGGTGGCACCTGGGTTTACAATGAAGAAGTAGGATCCGATCCGACCGGACCAGCTGGTATCTATGATGGACTCGTCACAAACGTGAACAAGGAGATGATGGCTTTCAGTGATTTCTCATTTCAAAGACACATTCCACCATATCCATTGGTAAATAGAACGCATCAATGATTAACGCATCAACGATGAAAATTTAAAATAAAAAGAACATGAGCTTGACATGTTAAATGACTCCGTTACTTGATGATTTTGTCAAGTTACCTTCAGTTATTTAAGCATTAAGTATATCCAATTCAATTTGAATGCATTTTATAGGAGTAAAAGGAAACATCCAGCATGACGCAGGTGTACAAAAAATGCATGTAAATTTTGAGCGGACAGATCCTTTGGTTAATTTACACAATGATATACCATAACTATTATGATTATTGTTTAATGTGGAATTTGAACCTAAAGGTCTGCGCGCCAATCCGTAAGTTTAAGGTATTAAAATCGGGTTCTTATAATAATGAAAGAGAGAATGTAAGCATCGTAAGAAAAGAGTGAAACTTCTTAAACTTTACTTATTGAAAAATAAATTAATGTTCATGTTCTTTTAAATGTGAGAACTATTGAAACCATTTTTAATCAGTGAAATTGAAATTGCAAAACGGTTTTTTTTTTCGCATTGAGGGATTGCATCTGCTCATTCCTTCTCCAGACTATATCTGAAAACAACGCTGAATAAATTATGATCTGATAACTTGATTCCTTCACAGAGGGAAGACGTAAGGAATTATTATATTAGGTACGCTGAGGAGTTTGATCTGACCAAGCATATCCAGTTCAACACAACAGTCGTAGAGGTAACGAAGACTCCAGATTTTCGCGAAACGGGAAGATGGAATGTGTGTACCCAACACGAGGATGGGCAGCCCCAATCAGAGGTAATTTTGTAAGCGCCTCCAGATCTAATACCGTGTCAATCAGCTGAAACTGTAACGCTTCAAATAAAATGGAGCTTTATCAGTTTACTTGAAATTAATTGGTTTTAATTAAAATATAATATTTTAAAAGTAGTGTCGATAGCCTGTCCAGATAGTAAACAGTGAAGGGGGCAGAATCCTGTTCAAGCGATTATCATGCCCCCCCCCCTTTTTTTTTTTAAATACGAAGTTAATATGAAGCTTCACGATGTTTGCAATCCTTATATATTATGTTCCTACGTATAAATTGTATTTGTTTGAACAGATGTCAAATATGTTGTCGAATTGAATAGAAGAAAATAAATGTTCATTTGAATTGAATTAAATTGAACCTTTATCAAAATCAATCTTTATGTTGTTTATATCTCAAAGGAGCTGTTATAAATCACTCCCGACTTTGAACCAGCTTTATATACTAGTATTATACGATTTTTCTCTTTCACTACAGATATTTGATGCTGTTATGGTATGTACCGGAATGTACTCGTCCGGTATAGTTCCGAATTACCCTGGTCAAAATGAGTTCCGTCGTCAAATTTTACATGGCAGTCAATTCAGATGTGGGCAAAACTTCAAAGACAAGACAATCCTAGTCGTTGGTAAATAATTGTGAATTTGTGATGGTGAACATAATAACAACGATAATGATGATGATGATAATGATAATTTCAAAAAATGATAGTAATGATGATGATAATAATAGCGATCATACTGATAATATAACATTTATAAGACACCAAATCCACTTAAAAACAAATGTTCAAGGCGCCCTATAGTGCCAAAGATGGAATCACATTAATAACGTCTGCGTTGTACAAAAAAAGATTAAAAACTAGTAGGAGAGAAAATACGAAAATGAAAGAGAACAATTGTTATATCCCAGAACAAACAGATATGTTTTTGGATTATAGCATGCATGTAACTATAGTGTGTACTTTAGATATGAGCATATCACTCCAATAATCTATCTTCCACCATGAGCTCTAAAAATGTGTTTCTTGCTTGTCAGGCGGGATAAAAGATGACTTTGACTTGACACACCCTTCAATATTTCGGGTGATAATTTTGTATGTTTATCCCAAGTTAAACAAAAACGAAACAAGATTAAAACAAAACAGAACATGAAAACCTTATGATAAACGTTGCAAAGTTGACAGGTTGTATGTACTATTGTTTAGGTAATATTTTATATTGAGAACTAGATAATATTTGTATTTTGTCCAACTTCTTTTATTTTACAGGGGCTTCACATTCTGCCGGAGATATTGCCATTCTGAGTAGTGATCATGCTAAGAAGGTAAATATTATTAATCCTTATGGTTACGGGGATATCACGAAATGGCCATAATTTCTTGTAAAAATTATTCTAAAATGGATGACATATTTTACTCACAAAAAGGGGCAATTTGTATCGGGAATTCGCGCGTGTCCCTTTTCACTTCAGTTTCGAAACGCACTCGAAAAACACGTGAGGTAAAAATGTGTACGTTTGCTGATATATACATACCAACCAACACACCAACATGGTCTGCAATCATTCTTCTTCTTCTTCTTGAGACACTACGCAAGCCCTGTCCAGTGGAGGACACATGGCCTAGCCTTGGGGTTGAAACTCACTAGGTCTTTGGCAGGCGCGGATCCAGGATTTCTTAGGGGAGGGGGCCCAACTTTTTTTTTTTTTTGCTCCCGAAAATTTGAAAATCGCGCCGGCCGAAAATCGCTCAGTGGGGGGGGGGGGGGGGGGGGGCGGGGTACAGAGGCACAACTTTTCTTTTTCTTTTTTTTTTTTTTTTTTTTGCTCCCGAAAATTTGAAAATCGCGCCGGCCGAAAAGTCGCTCAGTAGGGGGGGGGGGGGGGGGGGGGGGGGGGGGGGGGGGTACAGAGCACAACTTTTTTTTTTTTTTTTTGCTCCCGAAAATTTGAAAAACGCGCCGGCCAAAAATTCGCTAAGTGGGGGGGGGGGGGGGTGGGGGGGGGGGGGGGTTGTGAGCACATTTTTTTTTTTTTGATCCTCAAAAAAATTTCAATTTGCAACCCCCCCCCCCCCCCCTTGAACGCCAGGGGGGGGGCCCAACCCCCAAAAAAGGTAAAAATCACGTGATTTTACATGATTTTTTTCTCAAGGGGGGGGGCCCGGGCTCCCCGGGCCCCCCCCCCCTGGATCCGCCACTGGTCTTTGGGGTAAAGGGTTCTGGAAGGAGGGGAGCAGACCGAAAGGGGTTTCATCGTCTGTTCATCCCCATCACAGTCGCATATAGTTCCTCTATCTTGACTATAGTCATGTAGAGATCATTCTTTGTCCACTGAGCATTCGCTAGTGTTTATCAAGTAGTGGCAGAATGAGGGGCACAACTGGCCAATTCATTGCCCCCGGCCCTCTCACGCCTCACCTTGGAAACCCAAATTGGCATACCGTAAGTACACAACAAAATTGCCTCCTCAGTAATGTTGTGTGATTTTTTTTTTTCCGGAATCACCCCCTTTATTCTGTCTATTCAGTCATTTTCATTCCATATTTTTGTTAACAAGATACTGGATCTACCACTCACTGATATAACAAAAATTCCTCTTTTTTGTCCTTGTTTCAATATCATATTCTAGGTATACATCAGTATGCGGGATGGTGCTTGGATTGTGCCCCGCATTATGGGCAGGATGCCCACTGACGCATACGTTAATCAAAGATGGAGAGATCTGATTCCTAGCTGGATCTTCAAACCTTTGATAGGGATCAAAATGCAGTCCTTGCTAGACTGGAGAGCACTCGGGATTCAGAGCAGCAAGCATCCCGCCAACAGCAACAGCGTCATGATTAATGACCAACTCCCTATGAAGATCATGAGCGGTCAAGTGGTGGTCCGGAGTGGACTTCAACGGTTTGAAGGGTCAAGGGTCATCTTTGACGATGGTTCTTACTTGGATGATGTGGATTGTGTCGTTTACGGTACGGGGTACAATCCAGCAACTCCATTCCTGAAGGAAAATATATTGGGTAAGATGTTCATGTACAGAATCAAGGTTTGATAATGTATTCGATGTTTATTTATCAAGCAAAGGACAATAGGCCTGTTTATATATGCGTCGGAATTCCCCACGATTCAAGAACAGGGGGGGGGGGTAATGAAATGTGCTCATGACACTTGTCTTTTATTGTACCCCTCAGGCCCTCAAACAACAAAAAGATAAAGAAAATCCCTATAGAAAAAAGTCACGCGAAATCTGAGGTACAATAATGATTCCCCTTTACGTTTTAAGAACGAGTTCTGCCTCTGACTACATCTTTGGAAGAAGTTACTAAGACAGAAAACTATTTATAGTAATAACTGATTTTATTGTAGAATAAAAGATAAAGCAATCATTCAAAAAAAATAATCAAAGTATATTTTAAAGGGCAAACTCATAAACGAGCGTTAACGGTCTTACGTGATAAATATTTCATTGAAGCGCGCTTATTTCTTGTCTTGTTCAGGTAACTCGAATCAATTAGAGCTTTACATGCACGTCATACCACCCAGGCTTGCACACCCTACGCTTGCGGCCATTGGTTACATCCGGTCACGTGGTGCAGTAGGACCGACGGCGGAGCTGCAAGTTCGTTACGCCCTCAAGGTGTTCAAGAAAGAGGTTAAACTACCAAGTCATCAAGACATGATGGCGGACGTGACAAGAAGAAAGGACGCTGTCGTCAAACAGTATGGTGTAAACCAACCTAAGGTATCTCTATACGATTTTTGTTTTGTGTGGAGAATCTTTTCATGGGGGTCTAGCATGTATAGAAACATAATGAGTACACAATTCATTTATTTTAGTTTCCAGAATTTGGAAGGCTGCAGTTCTAGCCATTATGTATAATAAATAGGTGATTCTGTTGGTACTACTCATACCAATATCTGCAATGAATAAGCGCTGAAAAACCATCCATTTTGCATATAACAATATTTCCCCAATCGAAAAGATCACTTTTTGATCAGAATGTTGTTGTTACGTTGTATTGATCACTATTTTGAGCATAGTCTTGTAGAGGCTAATTCATTTGGGACATACATTTCATTGATCATAGGAACATTATTTTGTATTTCTTCTAAGTCGACCCAATTTCGTTATTGTGCGATATTGTTTTTGTTTATAATATCAACAATTGCACTGATCATTTCACAGTGAATTTGATTCGTAATATCGCAACAAACTCTTCTCAATCAGCAGCTTATTTAAAATTAATAACGCCATCATTAACTGTTCTATTTTTGTTCTAGATCCTCCCGACTACCTACAACGACGAGCTTGCTCGAGCAATCGGGGCTCTACCAAGTTTCTGGAGTCTGCTCTTGTCAGATCCGAAACTGGCTTACCACTTTTACTTTAGTCCAGCATTTCCACCTTGGAACAGAATGGTAGGTCCACACTCTAGACCAGATGCCCGTCAAAGGATCCTCCAATGTAGAGAAGATCTCCTACATGGGATAGCATTGAAAACGGTTCGCCCTGGAGCACTAAAACGTTTGGAAGACGTCGACAGAAACAGGACTGTATTGATTATGCTTCTCGTTTTATGTTTATTGGGTTTCCTCTTGGCAGTAGTAGTTTAGAATACATTAGATAAATTTTGGTGAAGGTGATTTTAATCTCTTACTGAAAAAGAGCTCTACTGAAAAAGGAAAATGTCCATAGGACAGTCGACTATCATCATCATGTATAATGTCAATGTATGATGGCATCCTGGAAATCATGGAACAGGGGCAATGCCTTTACTCGATCCTAGTCGACTGTGCCCCCATCCAGCCTTTTCAAACAAGTGTCGAGTATGCTGGATGCATTCCCAAGGGACTGTAGGATTTTGAGATTTCCAAACATAAGTACAACATCATTTTCTTTTAGTACCGGTATACTTTTGTTACAGTATAATTTTACTATTTCACACGCAGAGCGGCTCCTTTAACATGTTTAGGTATACGCCACCCGGAGTGTTGAGCTAAACCCATGTCAAGATTCATGTGTACGTGCATACAATATTATTGTACATTGTATTACCAAATTTCACTTGGAGAACTCGATGAATTGCTTTGGACAAAGTGTAAAAGATCCTTACATGAACTTTAATACGTTTATTATGATTGGACTTTGATAACTATATTATTATTACTAGACCTATTGGTGGTATGTACACATAATGCTGTCGTTCATTATACATGTACAATAAAGACATTAATCTACATTTGCTATATTCCATCAACTTCAAGGTGAGGTAACTGGCTAAATGTGTACCTCATCTGGTAATGGCAGCCGTGCTAAAGCCAGGGTGATTATTATGGAGCGACATGAGTGGCATTGTGCAAGACATTGGTTCTTTGCAAGACTCTATTAATATTATTATTATCATCATCATCATTATCATCACTCACCACGTGTCTGTGTGTTTGTTGCTTTCATACAACTGTCATAAATGATTTGTTACAAGTCATAAAGATTCAGTCTCGATAATCATGATCGATGTCATCATCATTACATTAGGGCCAAGTAAATTATAGAATCCTATGCATTCTACAAAGTGCAATTTCGACACATCTTTTTCATGAAGTTCCACGTATCTATACTGTACAGAGGAGTAAAATAGTTCATGATGATACTTTTCTACACATATCATGGAATGAATAACGCATGCTGAAAAAGAAACTTGCCCTTTTTCCTATGTTAATTAACATAACTGAATTGTAAGTAATCATTTGTTTATTTTTCTTTCGTTTTATGTATTCAGATGTGAATGTGCTAGGATCCGTTTTCCAGATTATTAGTACTTGTAACTTTTATTGCATGTTTTTTTACAAGAAAGTATATATATTTGTAAAAAAGGAAAATACTCTAGCTGTAATATCAGCAACAACAACAACAAATATATGAAATTATAAGTTGTATGTTTAAACATTTTTTCATCATATTCTGGGCAATAAACTTTAATCGTCAATTTTCATTAGTAAGTCACTGCAGAGTCTTTTGTATGGCGTCTACATTTCTTTAATAACCACCCCCCCCCCCCCCCCTTGAGGGCTGGTAGAATGACTGTGCTTTCTCATTTTCTGAATCTGACATGATGTGATTTCCCAATTCATTCCGTTTTGTTCGTAAAGTGTACCTTATCCATAAAGTTGGAATAACTTTTCTTACCTCTTTTCATGAAATGATATTGACAAAAATTCAAACTTTATTGATCAAACTCTTTGACTCTTTTAATTGATCAAAAAAGGTTCCGAGACTTATAAGCGTTATCTATATAAAGAATAAATTATTGGGAAAATCATTTCAAGAGGGAGCGGAAGGGAAAGTCCACCTTGGTATTATCTTTGGTTTTCATAAAAGCAGGAAAAACAGGAAAAACAAATTACTTAAAGTTTGAGCAATATCCGATTTAAACTGAAGTTGTCTTAATCAGTGAAACGCAAACTGGCAACACTGTGACGTATCCTGCAAGCTTTCATATTCTTGTTATTGCGGACTGAATAGACTTGTTTCATACAGGGGTTGCATTTAATCAAATTTGTAATAATCATATTTAGGGTGAATGTATAATAGACAATTAAATCATTTTTAAAGTTTTTTTGGTACAGGACAAATGGGCGTCGACCACGCAAAATGCGTGGCAGAGTTGCCCATTTGTGTTTGATTGATCGCACCATCAAATATTCATAACTTTCTTATTTTTAAGCGGGTTTTGCTCTAACTCTCACCGACCTGTTTCCAAGGGCGGCGGAGCGTCTTCCAAAGTGGGCGGGCACTAACAAAAAAGGCACTTTCTGGATAACTTGAAAGGGATACATACAGAGGGAAACCTCAAAGTGAACATATACACCATTTTAGACATTGGTAAACATGACTGTATATGCGTGTACATCGTCATGACTGTGATTACACTACCAGGGATGACATCAATATTTGTTTCTCTCGTATTACGTGGTACAAGATGCTGCTTAAGCAACATACTTTGCAGTGGGTGTGAAGGTCTGAATATTAATTTTCGAGCGAGCTATTGGGCAAGCGAGCATTCAAGGATTTGGGAGGTTGCAGTGCGAACATTTACATCGTAAAAAGAGGACGCAAACAAACCCTGATGAGTTTTAATCACAATGTAATGAAGAAAGACTGGGGGGGGGAAATCTTTTATAAGTAACACAAATATAAATGCGAGCGAGTGAGCTCTAGGAAAGTTAAAGAAAAAGGTTACTAGTAATAAATAAGGGGTGCATGTTATGGAGAAATGAAAAGTAGGCAATTATCAGAAGGGGAAAAGAGATGAAAAAAGGAACTTGTGACTTTGTGAGAATATAATTATGGGGCATTTAGTGTTGAAGGAAAAGGGCGCATATCGGATTTTAATCGGGGCTTTTATCAGATGTATAAAGGGCTCTTAGAAAAGGGGAAGAGGCTCAAAAGGAAAAGGGTACTTATCCGAAGGAGATATGGTTATTAGAAAGGAAAAGGGGCTTGTGTCAAAATAAACTTATCAGCTAGAAGCGGTAAGGGGTAAGCCTACTTCTCGTAAAGGGGCACTTACCAGAGATAGAAAAGCTAGCTAATTGCATAGGAAAAAGGGCAGTTGTCGAAGGAAAAGGGGCGCTTATCAGAGGTGAATATAGGGACATTCATGAAAAATTAAGTGAAGGGGACTTATGAAAAAGCGATAGGTGGTTCACTTCCACTAAGGAAAAGTGGCACGTGTATTGAGAAGGGGATCCGAAGGGGCAGTTTTTAAAAAAGAAAATGGGCACTTTTCCAATGAAAAATTTGGGAAAAGTGTGGGGGCACTTTTGTTTTAAAAGTAGGTCTATGCAGCTATAATATCCGATGCCCAGGTGAGGTCAGCACCCACTATCATGCCCTTAATTAGGAGATATAATCATTGGGCATGGGATCGGAGCGGAAACATCTAGCTAGTTTACAGCACGTATTTTATTGGACGAGTTGAAAGCAAAATGGCGACATTCACGGCGGGAAAGAAAAATGTGCGAAAGAAAGAATCAGCTGGTCGCCCTTCAGACCGTGCTTCTGGTTCTTTTGTTGAGCCAGGTGACACTACAATGGCAGATATTTGGAAGGTTAGTTTCACAATGCAGAATGTGATGAATTGACCCAATTATTGTCTTGATCTTCAAACTTGGTTACATTGGGTTGCCCCGCGCATGCACTTTGATGTACCGTCCATGTCATTGGTGGTGACATCGATGTTTAAATGTTTTTAGCTGCACATAGAGTTCTTGTAGGCCTACTCAGTTGTATCTAGAAGGTTTTTGCTTGAACTGTACACCCCGCACTTGAGACAAGCACAAGGTACGATGATACACTAACGGTGATCTATAAATTGTGCTTGTGCTGTCAGTGTCAGTGTCGTGCATCTGGAGAAGAAAGATAAACAAAAATCGTTGACATTGATTGATTGATGAAACAGAACTAGAATAGTAGATCTACCTAGACCTCTAGTAGTAGTAGTACCTTTTCTTCCGTATACTGTTGATGTTAATGATGTTGGGTCTGATCTGACATGTCATTGTTTTGGCGCTTGTTCAGAACTATGACCATACTTTCGACCTGTGACTCCAACGTGGAAATACCCTAGATGATAGGCCTAGTAGTAGTAGGGCCTAGTACTAGTAGGCTAGACCTCTAAAGTTAGATCTAGAGTAAAGGTAGGCAAATTCATGCAAAAAAAAAATTGACTTGAAAACACATCAGACAATTAGTCTGAACCGAGTCAGGAGCAGATTTGAAGAAACTATATTTTTAAATGTTGTAAAACCAAAGATTTAAGAAGAAAACTGACCAAGTATCTGTACTAAAAATCGTACATGTAAAATTCGTTGTACACATTCGACAGCTGAAAATGACGCGCACGGTTTCGTTACGTGCGTTCTCGAATCCAAAATCATACCTCACACACACACTCTCGCCATACCGCGAATGGTCCGTCGTGCGGAGCTAGCGGGCTGAGAGTTTGCAGCGATACCAACGCAGCTTCGGAGCTCCGCAGCGCGCCATTTTAGCGGGTTCAGAAAGGTTCGTGGTGGGAAGGCAGCGGCCTAGCTTTTTGCCCAAACAACGCTAGATCGGCTGCTGGCAAAATGAAAATAACTACGATCGAGAACATCGTCGGTTTCTTAACTTTTCAGTGAGATAATTCTGAATTCTAATTGAGACTATATAATAAATTAAATCGATAAAGAAACCTCGGTAGAACTCTTATAACTGTACAAAAGCTTGTTTATTTTTTCAATTGACATTTTGTTTTCGACCATTTTTTCGTGCGCGAGTCAATGCAAACTATGTATTACCAAACTTTCAACACGCAAGGAACGGGGAACACTCGCGGACGTCGTATCAAATTCGTTGCAACAAAAAAATTCAAGGGTGATTTTGAAGCAGTGAAGAATATTGGCGCTGCAATGCGCAGAAATATACTTGAAAGAAACTTAAAAAATCATACCTGAATTTTCAGAAAATCGTATTTGTATGAGTGTACCTAGATGTGACTTGTTTATAACTCAGATTTTATGAAGATTTGTCGGGAAAAAATGTCAATTTTTTCCGTTTGGTGGTCATTTCTAGGCTAATATTTTAAAAGTTACTTCAGTAATGGTCCCGGTGTTTCTTTTATCATACTCGCATGTTATTTCTACATAGATTAAACATAGGATGGTTAAGGGTAAGACCGGATAACATTATAAAAAAAGATATATCCTTCCAACCTCCCATATCCAAGTTTTGGGCTGATTATTGCCGACCCACCGCAGCAAGGCCATTCAGATTTTCGTACGCGACCGAAGCGCCCTCTAGTGCCCCATGAATGTGCCTAGTAAAGGAGCCCGTTTTCGGCCACTTAAGACAAAATCCTATTTTTAGGACCCTTTACTTCCTATTTATTATCATTTTTTGTTCAAATCATGAAGCAAATATTATTATTATTTAAAGAAAACAAGAATCCCAGAAAAAAAATCACGAATTGCCATGACAATATTCATTTCAATTTTCACTGTTTCGGAGTCAGTTTTCGGCATAGCGTACCAGTTTTCGGCCGCTTGTACAAAGTCAATAGGAAGCGCGCGCACGCGCCGTGCGTTTCCGTGCTGATCTATAGCACTAGCGGGCGGAGCAGATATCCCACGCCGGAGCTCCCCGGAGCTCGCCAGGCCGAAAACTAGTACTGTGGTGATCGGATATTGGAATCTAAATTAGACAGAGATATCGTGTGTGCATTGCGGTGTGCGGCTGCATTGATTTAATACATGCGATGAGATACTTTTGAGCTTGCGACTAGCACAAAATCGGGCTCTAAATCTGAAAAATACTTGAAATAAAGCTCATTTTATGGTACCCATATTTCTTACAGACACGCGTAAGATACTCAATTTTTCAGATTCGGGTAGCGGGACCGCCGATTACATCGCTAAAATGTGATATTTTAAGATATATTTTTCATTGCAAATATGGTTCTTCAGTGACACTGGCATGGTATGGTATGTGTGGGATATGTGTTATGCTATTATGCGATGTATTTTAGAGTGATTTTACCTTGCATCCAACCAATCGGCCGAAAACTAGAGCTGGCCGATTACCGGCTCCTTTACTCTTCTATTACTAGGCCTAGACCTATAACATACCAAAAAGCAACTAAATCTTAAACAATTGTTGAAATAATGGTCATGATCATGATGATTTAATAAAAGTCGTTTCCTACCTGTTTCGTGTAAATTTTCTTATCTTTTTATTTCTCCCAAAAATAAAGACATTAGTTAGACCTCTAGAGGTCTATACTTTCTCACAGGTTTCACACCAAACCTCTGCAGAATACAACTACAAGTAGATCTACATGCCAACGATGGGTTTCGGGCAGGCACACGCACCTGAGCTGTGTGAAGATAGCAACCGTAAAGATCATCAATTCATGATGTGAATTACTTGCATGAATTTAATGAGGATCTGAGATTA